TAAATATATGGGTTGATTGTGTAAATCACCCATACTTGTATAGTGGGCTAATGCTCCATGGATTATCAAGTTGGGCTCAAACCCATAGGATGCTCCATGGTGTTTTTGAACCCATGGATCCAAGAAATGAAGAGTCATGTCAATTAGGGTTTACATGGTGTAACCCAAATTATGACACACTATATAAGCAACATGTTGTAGACCAAAATCGGCACTAAGCAAGAATTGTGAGGGCGAGCCGATTTCAAGAAGTGTATCATATCTCTCTAAGTCATTCCAAGTGTATTTGGTGTTGTGTGAGACATTTGAGGCATCACACTTTAGGTGATAGGCTCACAAGGTTCTCAAGAAATTCAAGCAACTACAGGTATGCATTTATTACTATCTTTTATGTTTAAAAGTTCCCCAAGTATGCTAGATAGGTTATAAACCTTGGAAAAACAAATTTGCATGTATCATAGATAAAAACATATATCCAAGGTTTCTAGGGTTGCATGTACACCATAGGAGTGTTAGAATGCTCAAAACCCTTCAAATACATCAAGACTTCAAGCTCCATCAAAAGGTATGTTATCCTAACTAGTATCTTATATGGTTTATTTTAAATGCATGCTAGTTGTAGGTTTAATACCTTGGAAACCATTTACATGAATAATTAGTGAAAACATAGATCCAAGGTATTTATGGTTGTATGTGCACCATAGGATGTTGTAGTATACAAAACCCAACAGTGGTATCAAAGCCATGGGTTGTTTTCTATTGTATTTGATGAAAAAGTATAATTTTCAAATATGAGAATCTGCCCATACTACCCAACTCAACAAGTTAATGCAATAAACTCGACGAGTTTGTGATTTTTAGCTTGAACTTGACGAGTTCTTTATAGAACTCGACGAGTTGAATGAACCGGGAGCATTTAGAGTAGTTCATGGTTTAGATCTGAAGTTTGATGGTTGGTTTGTGCCATGCATAAGATTGTGGTCATAAAATCCCATTTTTTATCTAAGTTGAGTCCAAGACTTGTATTGGACATGCAAGTTGAAAAGGCATCAAACTTTAGGATGGTTTTGGTGTCATAAGCTCTTCTGGAGCAAATGAGCTTAAGACTTAAAGAATTAAGTGGTTCTTGATAGGTCCTTGCCACTCTTTAGCCTTTTGGATCTAAGACTTGAGATCTAGACCTCTTGGTGGATCTCAAGTGATAAAGGTGGCAACATTACCCTTTTGGACATTAGAAATGATAAGATTTGGACTTTGGAACCTTTGGAATTGAAGGATTCATCTTAACTTATTAAGACGTTTAGGGATCCAGTCCCCACGACGTGGCTTTGCCTGCCACGGCGTGGCGACTGGTAGATTCACATATGTTTTGTCGTTTGAAGGCCAGGACGTGGAGAGTCCATCTTGACCGTTGACTTTATACTTTGACCTAGATTTTTACTAGGGTTTGACCTACGGGTATTTAGGTAATTTGACGTGTATGCTGAGATAGTGTCATTAAATTTATTAAGGTGATTAGTAGAGTTGATCTCAGAGCTGCATGCTATTCAGTTTGCTTATATGTCTGTGAGGTGAGTTTTTTCACTATATCCATTAGTCGAAGGCACCAATGCCAGCCCTTTACATGTTTTTTGGAATGCTAGTTGTTTTTATGATGCTTGCATGAAAGACTAGGATTTAGCCCCTAAAAATTGTATGAAAGACCAGGATCTGGCCCCTGACACTTGTATGTAAGACCGGGATTTGACCCTCGACATTGCAAGTAAAGACAATGGGGGTAGTCCATGGCATTCACATGTAAGACCGGGATTTGGCCCTCGACATTGCAAGGAAAGACCATGGGGCGGCTCATGACATTTCTCTGTTTTGTGTATGTGGTATTTTGGGGAACTCACTAAAATTTATGCTTAAAGTTTATGTTTATGGTTTCAAGTACTTTTGATCCGAAAAGGGAAGGGTCCGACATGATGGCACATCATTCTCTTCTCATGAATTCCGCATTTGAAATAATTTGTTCTCTGATGTTTTAAATATTATGACTTTATATGGGCTTTGAACAATTAATGAATAACTTGATAGAGTTTTAAATTATATATATATATATATATATATATATATATATATATATATATATATATATATATATATATATATATATAGATCCGGTAAGAAAATTTTTTTGGTAGGAAGGTAAGAAGTTTTTTTTCTACATATTTTTTTGACGAATAAAATAAATGAATCACTAGATGATTCATTTGTAAGATGATTCACAAGAAAAAATTCCGAAAAAAACATATTTATGATTCATTTTTAAGTAAATTAAGAAAAAATTCACTTTTATGACAATTTTAGTGAATAACAACAAAATCATTGTATAAATGAATCATCGAGATGTTTTTTTGAGATTTTTTTCTTGTGAATCATCTTACAATTCATTTTGTTTGTTCGCGAAAAAAATATGTAGAAAAAAAACTTCTTACCTTCCTACCAAAATTTCCTTCTTATTTGATCTTGATTATATATATATATATATATATATATATATATATATATATATATATATATATATATATATATATATATAATCATTTTCGGGTTGTTACAGATATGAAGAAATCTTGGTTGTTAGGGTACCATCATTTTTAAATCCTTATCTCATTGATAGTCCAAGTGTCCATGTTGTACAATAACTACTACTAAGAGTGAATCTCTTATTTCATACTATCAATTTCAATTTTCAAATGAATCATTGCTTTAGTGAAAATTTCTTCATGATAGTTTGTCAATAATATAAACTTGGACCAAGAAGCTTGAAAGTTTAAATCCACGGCTAAAATCAAATAACATGGTATGGACTATGGACTAAATTAATTGGGCTAATGAACTAGAAAGGTAAGTTTGGTTTTTGTTCACATTAAGGTAACCATGTTTTTTTCGTACGTATTTAACCATTGAACTTGTTTGACCTGTTCAAAATAAGGTAATATGACTGGTAATTAGCGGTAACATTACCCTATTATGAACATGTCAAACAAGTTTACTGGTCAAATGTGTACGAATAAAACATGGTTACCTAAAAATGGACAAAAACCAAAGTTCCTTACCCATTATGGTAATATTGGGCTTTTTATGTTAAGTGCAAGTAGTTATAAGATCCATCGATGTGACATGAAATTGGGTTGTTCGGTCTTTGTGTATGAGGAGATGGTTAAGTCGTGGGCAAAACCAATTTAGGCCCAGCTAGTTAGGGGTTAGATTGTATACGCTTAAGGGGCTAGATTATATGTGTTTTAAAGACCTAGCAACACAGCCTAGCCCATGACTAGCCGAGAATGAACTGGGTTAGACCAAGCATAATCTAATTGTTCATTGACTGTCAGAGTTTGATCCCAAGGCACATTCCCTGAGACATTTCTTGTCCAATATTACCAAAAGGGTAAGAAACTTTGGTTTTTGTCTATATTTAGGTAACCATCTTTTTTTGTACACATTTGACCAATAAACTTGTTTGATTTGTTCATAATAAGGTAATATTACCGTAATTACCGGTCATATTACCCTATTTTAAACATATCAAACAAGTTCAATTGTCAAATGTGAATGAAAAAAACTTTATTACCTAAATTTAGACAAAGTTCAAAGTTCGTTACCTTTTTAGGTCATTAACCCAAATTAATTTGGTTAGTGGGTTCCTGATTCTAAATGAACAAATATGTGTGAGCCACAAATACAACCAATTTAAGAGGAAAAAAAAATGGAAGAATGTAGGGCCGAAGACGCATTAGGGACAAAAGCTTGAAACCCAACCCAATATTAATGATTTACATTGAAATTTTCAAACTCCAACTAACTAAACTTGATCAAAAGTTTCAAACCCAACCGAAATAGTGATTTACATTGAAATTTTCTAACTCCAACTAACTAAACATGGAATGGACTGAGATTTCAATCAAATATTTTACACATTAAACGGTATAAATATTTTATTATTATTATTTTATTTTCTTGATTACATTTTGCTTATAAATTCATGTTTTTATAGAAAATCATTCGATCAAACAATTAAAGATAGGATAAATGTTGTTTCACAAGTGACGTCAAGTACATTACCATCATGTTTACATATGTTTGTGTGCCTTCGATGTGTTTGCTTTCTGCACTCTGCAAGTGATCGTGGGCAGCCCACGATCCTACATTGGAATTCGACCTTGGTTCTGTTGTGGTGCTACACTACTAAGACGATGACTATCCAACTATTTATATTTGGTTTCTAATAAACAAAACTGTAAACCTTTCTTCATGAGATAGACTAATGGTGAAAAAATAATTTAATTCTTGTATATGTATGTTAAATCTGGTCCAAATTTTCTTCTGGTTCCAGATCTTCATAATGTTCATATCTGGATTTTTTTTTTTTTTTGGTTAGTCTCGTAGTGATGGTGGTGGTGGGGTTGAGCGGTGGTGGCGGTGACGATGTTGACCAATGTTGGTGGTGGTGTACCGGTTGAGGTGGTGTTTATTAGAGGGAAAGAAAGTGAAGAATGGAGTAAATAGGTCTAGTAACAGGGAATAGAAGGGGTAGGGGTTGGGGTGGGTTTCTTTTTTTTTTTCTTTTGCTTTTTTTTTAGTTGTTTTATTAAAAAAAAATTAAAAAAACAAAATAATAAAGGTAAATCCATTCTTTTTATCAAATAACTAAACTCACAACAAAATAAAAAATTTGGATTGATAATGCAAGTCCAAATATTTTTGGACCAATATAATAATTTTCGTCATACAACACAAAAATCATTTTGCAGTTTTGTCTTTCTAATATTTGTAGTACCCCTATATAGTTGCACTATTTCAATTACATTCATCCTGTTATCTTTCTTAAATTCAAATCAAAACTACATAACAAAAAGAAGATGCACACGAACATTCAATTTTTGTATTCTCGTCATGTTTGGGACCACCATCTTTGAAACGACAATAAAATGTGACAAAAAGGAATCATTTCCATTTGACAAAACGAGGAAATCACACACCTTTGTTTTGATTTAGAGGACAAAAAAAACATTTTAATTGAAAACATAATTTAAATCAAGCAACAAGTTGCTTATTATGTAGCCAACTTTTTTAAGGCCAAAAACACAAATACACCCCTGACAAAAAGCTTTCCATAAAACTAACAAGTAATAACTAAATTACATGACACCAGTTCTCTCCTTCATGGGTTAAGTAAGCAAATTAGACAGATTCTCTAATATAATTAACCATACCATACAAACACCTTAATCCAGATAAACACCTTCATCACGATTAATAATAACATTTTCATAATCCCTCATCTCCCACGAATATTAGCAGGGGAACGAACAAGACTAGTGATTTCATCATCAATATTCCCATCCAACCACACTCCATTATTATTATTATTATTATTCACACTCATTTCAGAGCTCCCATTGCTACTTGGTGAATCACAAACACTCATTGTTCTACTTCTCGTGGGACCCGCTCCTCCTCTCACACTGTACATAGACGACGCCGGAATATTACTCATCAACGGCCTCAAATTTCCCGGTACTGTCCGCCTTATATCCTGCTCCAAATAAAAAATATATATAATAAATAAATAGCAACCTACTTTACTTTTTTTTTTTTTTTTACAGATATAACAAATATTATGTTTAATAATAGGAAGAAAAATACCATATGTCGAATAGCCATATCCAATGATTTCTTTGATAGTGATCTCCCGAAACCCGAGCTGTCAGGAGACGATGACTTGGCAGATAAATTACTATGTGGCGAATGTTTGTCGTCTTTCTTAGGTGGGACCAATTTCCTCATGTTAATTACCCTTTCCACCATTTTTGTTCCATACAAACCAGGGCTAAGATTGTCATTTGCTTTAGCATATGCACGATTCAATGCAGGGACAGGAACAGAGCTTCCACTCATATGGCTCACACCCGTAGGGAGGCGGCCTCTTGAAGGCGAACAAGATTGTCTTCTTACCCTTCCGTTGACCACCGGCTCCACCGATGTTGACCGGCTAACCGCCATCGGCCGCCCCCTGGTGGCGGAGGTCGGCCGGTCGGAAAGTGAGGTCCTTAAATTTGGTGGTGCATCGAGGGTGTATCCGGGCATTTCCTGAGGCTTCCATGGTCTTTTTACGGTTGGAGAACTTGCACGCGGTGGTGGTGGTTGTGGTTGTTGATGCGGTGGTGCCGCCACGGTTCTAGTATTTGGTACTGGTTTTGTGACGGTTTTTGTTAGTGTGGGTGGTGGTCTACGAGTTGGGGTGGGTGCCCTTGGTGTGGGTCCCCTTGTGGGGGTTGAAGATCTTGGGGTAGACCTGGGGGTAGGGGTGGATGACCTGGCGGGTAGGGTGGGTTTGGTTGGACCCATGGTGGAAGACCTGGGTGTAGGGGTGGAAGATCTTGTAGGTCTAGATGTTGTTTTGGGAACCGAATTTGAATTTGAACCGGGTCTAGATGGTGCACCCAATGTGGGTCTTCCGGTTGGGGTAGCGGGTCGTCCGGTTGGGGTGGCGGGTCTTGAACCGGGCCCACTAGAGGAGGTGGGTCTACGGGGTCCACCACTTGAAGTGTTTAATCCAGGAGATGACAAAGGTTGTCTAGATAGTGTCATGTTATTCCTACCATTTGTCTCAAGGTGAGGATGGGTATTTGATAGCTATCAAGAAAATGAGATTATTAATTCAAAAGTTTGATGCTTTAAAATGTTTATAGAATCAAGAATCAAGAATTGGTCTTACACGAGATTTTAGTGCAGTGGGTCGAGCTTTAGGAGTTCCAATTTGACCCATGACTGGCTTCTGTGATTCCGATTCCAGTGAAGGAAATAGAGGGGTACCAGGGGGTGTTAAAAGCCTGAAAAAAGAAACAATTTTCAGGGAATAATAACACAATGATATGATCTTATCTAAATTTATATCATGTAATACAAATTATTACCAATCATAATCATTTTTATCATTTTCAGAGTTGAGAAACTCATCAGCACCGGTCTTTCTGGCTGGTGTGGCTGCAGGCATACCAAACATTGGTGAACATCCTTCAATTGATCCTGCAAAATCAATATAATACGGTTTAATTTATCTCAACTTGAAATGGAATCTTTCCGATCCTTGTACAGGGTGATTAATCAAAAGAATAATTGTAGTTAAACAATTTGATAATCAAAATCTTAATCCTCATTAATTTCAGTATTGTACTTTTATTATAAACAATACTTCATATATAGGGAAGAAAACACAAATCTTTTTTGTGAAAGTGACGAGTATAATCGGAAAGTAACGATAGCTAAAGTTTTTTAAAAAGAAAAACAAAAAAATCGAAAATAGTGATTTACCAAGTGATGAATCGAACTCTTCTGAGTTCTGAAGAAGATTATTTCGCTCTTTTTCTCGTTTTCTCATTTCCAAAAACAAACCTAGCTCCTCTTCTTTCTCTTTTACAGACTTCCTGAAACTCCCTGTCATTTGCTGTTGCCGTTGCTTCACAGCCGCTGTTCCCGGCATTACCTTCTCCGGTGCCCGGAAACTCCGATTCATCGCCCCAAACAAACAGTATCAGCAGTTTTACAAGCCCGGAGTCCTAAACCCTAAAAAAACACATTGTGTTCACGAAACCCAAAGCACAGGCCTAAATCCTAAATGTCAAGAACCCTAACTTTTAAATTTAAAATACAAATGACTGCGTACTGGAATCCTGAAACTTTAAGCTCCGGATCTGAAAATCCAGCTGAAATGCTTCTTTCGATGCAGGGAAAACAAATTTTCAAATTCAAATTTTTTGAAAAAAAAAAAATGGAACTCGTCTACGCATATAAATAACAACAGAAGCAAAAGTGATTATAAGGAAAATGTAAATGGAGGTTCCAGAGGAACATATATATGAAGACGAAAGCTTTGAGCTTGGAAGTGTGACGAAGATGGAAATGTTAGAGAGAGGAAGAGAACAAGCCAACTTAGAGAGAGAAAGTTGGAACGAGTTGAGTCAATTTGAAAGATGGAGAGAGAAAGAGACAGAGACAGAGTGCAGTGGCAATGAATGTAAATAAGGATTGTTAGAAGGCTTTTTCCTTATAAACAATAAGACAAATAATTTTATTTGGAGAAAAATGGCAAATAAGTATTGTATGTTCTTTTATGAAAAAAGAAACGATAATATTTTTTGGGATTCTCTCGTTCTTGATATATGTAGTATTGAGACATTTATTATTTATATAACTATTTACAAATATAATAATTTGATTGAAATTAATTTTTTTTTATTTCGGATAAAAACAAAATTATTGTTTAAAAAGATTGCATTATACTTTTATAGATTATCATCACGTGAGTGCGCAATTATCTCTTACTTAACAATAAATTACGACTTTTGCTGTATTAACTAAAAGTAACTATTATATATATATATATATATATATATATATATATATATATATATATATATATATATATATATATATAGGGATAGGGAATATACATTACAGCCCCACCTAAGTTCGGTTTGGTTTCATTTGGTAATATATCATCTTCCATAACATTTCTTTCTTTCTTTATTGTTTTACCATCTCTGTTTTCTTTCCACAATTATCGTTTATTACTTCACCCAAGTGACCATTACTAAACCCTAAACCTAAACCCTAAACCCCAAATTTAAACCCTAAACCCTAAACCTTAAATCTAAACCCTAAACCCTAAACCTTAAACTCTAAACCCTAAACCCTAAACTTAAACCCTAAACCCTAAATCTAAACCCTAAACCCTAAACCCTAAACTCTATTGTGTCGATCTTGAATTTACATCTTGAAGTATTAACCATAAATCCATTAACCGTAATCTTTATATAGTAAAACAATGTATTTTCAAGAGGTTTAGTACCTAAGCTTAGGTGAGGCTGTAATGTATATTCCCTTTTCCTATATATATATATATATATATATATATATATATATATATATATAAAATAAAATTATCCATCCTTAGCTACAGTAAAGTGGCTGAGGATTTGACAAAATTGGTACACAACTTTACATATTTTCATTGGTTAAGGATTTTGCCACAAGAGTTTGTCAAATTGGCAATTTAGTCCATGAACATTCATTTGCATTGTACCGTTGATATTTCTCATTCTTTCCTTCCCTCTTCACTGTTCGTCGGTGCTACCTGTCCTCCTCATGATACATCGTCTCTACGATACAATACCGGTACTCCACGTATTATCACCCAGTAACTCCATAGACATCTACATGTCCACCGCTACATATCAAAAGCTTCCATCAGCTCCAAAACCCACCGTCTCTCTCTAAAAGCATCGATATAGAAAAAGAACTGTTCCACCTCCGCTTCTCCTCTAAAGTTTGCTTTCTCTCTCTTTTTCTCCCGCCTTTCTCCCAAATTTTGGAACCATCGACAGTGACCATGGTGTTCTCCTATATCCACCATATTCTAGGTTGTCTCTCTCTAAAAGCATAGACATAGAAGAAGAACTGTTCCACCTCCGCTTCTCCTCTTAGGTCTGCTTTCTCTCTCTTTTTCTCCCGCCTTTCTCCCAAATCCAGGAACCATTGACGGCGACCATGGTTTTCTCCCATATCCACCATATCCAAGGCTAATAATCAATTTTGGATCACGAGTTTATTCGTCGGTGTTCCTCGCTTGCTTCTCCAGGTGTTTCATTTGCTGCAAGGTCCCTCCTCCTCTCTCTTTATAAAGAGGTCGTCGTCCCTCGCTCTTTCCCCCATCTCCGTATCTGCCACGATCAAGAAGAAGATGTGTTTGTGCTTTCTTACATCCACCACCATCTCAAACTTTTGTTGAATCCAGGTTCCAATTTTCTTCGCTCTACGTATCCCTCTCTTACAGTCTCCAGAATCACCAAAAACACAAAATCCCTGTTTGTGCTTTCTTGGACCTGATCTTAAATTTCATTTTATTTTTACAGATGGAGTCTAACAAACTTCAGATGATTAATGAAGAAAGAACAAAGCAGAGCAATTAAAGCTTTTCAACCTAACTTACTTTTTTATGCTCATCCATCACTTAGTGATCATGTTAGCATTTCTCTTCCGATTTCATAAAATTTATCTTAATTTTAGCCTTCCAGTTGTTAGATTTGAATGGAATTGGACTTTGCTGAAACCACCATTGATAGGTACAAAGAACAATCACATGTTATCTTTGCAAGAATTACGCCTACCAACTGTTCTACATGTTTCTCCAAAGAATAATCATCTTTTCATCAGGGTGAAGATTAAATAGTTAGAATTTTTATCTAATTAGGAGTTTATTTATTTAACATTTTCCTTATTTAAGTGTTTGTTTGCCTTAAGCCACCGTTAGGAATATTGAATGATTAGAGCTGTTTTCAATTTCTTTCATTAGCTTAATAATGCAGCAAGTTTTGTTTCACCTATGGCCGAGTTCTATCAGTAATCGACCGTGGGGTTTTTACAAAGCTACTCGGTGTCAATTCGCCAAATTCATGCCCGATTCACTCATCCAAGACGAAGGAAAGCGCAGATTAGTGTATAGAAATCGTTTCTGGTGTTCGATAAACCATTAAACTCCAGACTTTGCATTTCTGATTTTATTTCAGCGACAATCGGGTTGATTTCGAATCGTCGATTCTTGTGTTTGAAGTTTGCGAAATGGACGACGAGGGTGACGTGGCTATGACTCAAGCGGGCTTAGACTGGAAATTCTCTTAACTTTTTAGTGAACATGCTGCTGGAGAAGAGGTTCAAGAAGGTACAAACAGTATTTAATCGATGTATATTTCTTTCTATTTGTGATTAAATTTCGCTTTGGTTTTGTGGCATTTTGATTCTTAATCAAACCTCTACTTTTCCGATTGAAATTGATTGATAATGTAACTCTTTGCATTTACATAATGAAACTATACCTTCTGCTTGATCTTCTAAAGTTGAAGTCAATGGAATTTGGTCTCCAATATGCTAAATTATGTATCTATTTATAGAATGCAACGATTAAACTGAAACTACAAACCTTTTGAGTTATGATAACTTAAGCCAAAACATAGAGGCGAAGCTTATTAGATGTCATTATCTTGAATAATCAATGCTAAATCAACTGCATCTATTTACATTTTGAACGCTTTCATTGCAGTTGATGTCATTTAAACAATAGAATTTGATAAAATTGGTGATCATCTTGCAACTGGAAATCGTGGAGGTCGTGTGGTTTTATTTGAAAGAAATAACCAAATAGATGTATGCTGCATAATCATATTCTTTAAAATTTGTTCATTTATGTAGTTAACTCATATTATAACATGAAAATGTATAATATAGCATGGTGTGCTTCCAAGAGTTCTAGAAGGAACGGATTGTTCCAGCAGCTGCCATCCTGAATTCCGTTATAAAACAGAATTCCAAAGTTATGAGCCTGAGGTTTGTTGTCATGTTGTGTCAATTTTATCATAGATCATGTATATTTATTCTCATATTTATGCTATTTCAGTTTGACTATTCAAAAATCTTGGAAATTGAAGAGAAAATCAACAAGATCAAATGGTTTCAAACAGCTAACAGTTCCATTTTTCTGCTATCCAGTAATGATAAAACCATAAAGTTCTGGAAGGTATGAACATAAAAAAGTCTGATACTACTTTTTTGGGATTATTTTTTTTGTACTTCAATCTATTCTAATATCCTTATATTTTTACTAGGTCCAAGAAAAGAAGATTAAGAAGATATGCAACTTTAATATAGACCCTTCAAATTATTTGAGCAATGGTTTTATTAGTAGTTAAAATGTACATATATCTCTACGGTTACCTATGGCAGTTCTATGCAACCTAATTATTTATTATTTCTAATAGTTAATTATTTTTTTTTTCATTAAAAGTTCCAACTTTTTATGTTCAGGTAATTAGTCATGATTCCAGCCTTTTAGTTAGATGTAGAAGAACATATGCCTATGCTCATGACTATCATATTAATTCCATTTCTAATAATAGGTGTGCTTCAATGCTTTTACTTTATTTATATACATTTAAAATGTTATCTGATTAATTATTAATTATTTCCATTTTGTAGTGATGGTGAAACATTTATCTCAACTGATGATTTACGCATAAACCTTTGGAACTTTGAAATCAAAAGTGAGAGTTTTAATATTATTGCCATGAAGCCTGCAAACATGGACAATTTAATAATAATTTCAAAATTGCTAACAATTGTTTAAATCTGTTTGTTTCAGAGGTTATAACTACAGCAGAGTTTCATCATTCACATTGTAGCAATAAGAGGGAGAAGATGAAGTACAGGTTAACATCAAATAACAACCTGGCGAGTTTCGATTACCAAATGCCAACACAGGAGGTTATCATTTGTGGTTAAATGATATCTTATGTTGCAATTACTTGGGTAATGTTTAGTGTATGATATGATAGAATCAGTGGGAGGAATAGAATGATTCATTCCATTGGAATGAAAAAGAAATTGTTTGTTTTCCTTTAATATTGTTATATTTTTAGCAGTTAAATGTATTGTTGCGTGTTTTGCACCTATTTGAAACAATCAGATTTAAGTTTGGTTGAAAGGTCCCGACCCAAAAAAAGTTCACATATCCGGACCCCGCAACGTGGGGTCACTCATCTAGTTTAAATAATAAAAGTATAATTACCTGATATATTTGATAAATAAATGTTATGCTTGTCAATGATTAAAGAAATTATATAGGTCAATAAATCTAATATAAGTTTTTATATTTAAACTAAAAAGATGGTTGTTTTTTTTGTCTATTAATAATAATATTTTTCGTTATTAGTTTCATTCCTACATTTTAAAATCTTAAAATACTTTTATATATTATATAATTAAATATTTGTTTAAGTTATAGATATATTCATCAAGATAACCATATTTTTATGGGTCTTGAAAAACTATATATTAAAAAAATGTCTAAATCAAGGTTGTCAATATCATAATCATACCAAAGACCATGATCATAAAGTTGAATTAGGATCAAACATGCTATCAAAGTGAACTAGTTTTTAAATTTGTTTGTCATGTTTTGTTTGTGAAATACTCATTATAACTTGAAATTGATTAAAACATCAAGGATGAAATTTCCTTTAGCTTATTAAGCATGAAACCTAATTCTTATTGTTGAAAACCGCAAAAATTAGGAAGAAAACATCCTAAACAGAAACATTAACAAAATCATTATGAATATGTACAACTAAAGGCATAAGATAACAAAGATAATAACATGATGATAGGTTTTATATGCAAGTATACATTAGATTTAGGCAACATAAGCATTCAAATATATCCCTAAATGTACATGCACATTAAGATCTAAGTTTTACTATAATGGCTGTATTTTCATAACAATGAAGATAAACTAACAAAAGAGTAGAATATCAACCTTACAAGTATAATGGTATATACCTAAGTCCACTTGATGATCAAGAACATTTATGTTCCTTCTTGGAAGTTCTAGCACCCAACATATGAATGTTTCTAGTGCTTTACACCCAAAAGACTAAAACTGTCAAACTTTTATAGAAAGATGAGAGTCGAATATCTCAGCCTTTCAGGAGGTTGAGATGACACGAAATTATGAAGGCTTGGAGGGGTCTTTATATAGCTATGGTGATAAGTAGATAACCCTGATTTAAATCAATTAAATATTAAGATTTAATCTTGATTCAAACCATTGCATTACCTATTACAGTTGGATTAGTTATGGAAGCTTTCTGGAAACCCCTAAAACCATCCACCACTATAAGGGTTCTAGAATGTTCTTATTTCTCAACTATTTAACAACTAACAATCAGTCCTCCAGTTGAATTATAATTAATCCCAAATTAATTCTTATTAATTTCGATTGATTTCTAATTATTTTCTAAGTAATTTATTAACTTGTAATAAATCAATTAACTATTATCTCACTATCTTAATTCCTTCTAACTGTTTTAGCTACTAAGGGCAGCTTAAAAATGATATTGCTATTATTTCCAAAGATATACAATATAGTTATGACATTTGACACCTATTTTCAATAGTCTCCCACTTAGACAGGTTATCAACTGTAACGTCCCAAAAATTACAAAGATATTTTTCATTTTTAAAATATACTAACCAATTAAACCTTTGTTTCAAAAACCATTCAATAGCATTTGATTGATTGGAAACCATACATTATCATAGTTAAATTTAGAAAACCAAGGAAACGAATATCTTTGATGCGTATGTACAATCCTGCCGAGCTCTTCTCACGAACGACCTGTAAAATGTTCGATCCAAAAATGTGACATTATTACTCCAAGTTACTCCAAAACATGTTACATGCATATTTATAAAACAATAGTTTACATTGATAGTATAATAACATAAGATTTGATACAAACCGACTAAGTTTTAGTATATTACAAAACTACCTAGTAAATTATAATTTTATACATACATGATCACTAAATACAAAAGTAATATAATTAAAATTTCTAAATCTTCCAACAGTATGTGTCTATACTGGATGCTTATTACCTGCAATAGTTAAACACCGAGAGAGATTAGCGGTGATGCTTATGAGTTCAGTAACAAATACAATATAACGTTATGTCATTGCGTGTGTGTGTGTGTCTGTGTGTATATATATATATATATATATATATATATATATATATATATATATATATATGTGTGTGTGTGTGTGTGTGTGTATGTGTGTGATAGAAGCAAAAAGGAACAAAGATCAACAAAGACATATTTGAATCATGTGATAAGCTTTCCATTTTAATCAATAAATTGATTAAAATATTTACAATCAATGAGATATAACACTTTCAACTTGATATACATCAATAAAGCTTCAACCCAAGTGGCACAGAAAATATAGAATTTCTGATTATCATTTTGCTAGAATATACAGGCTTTCAGCCGTATATAGCCATATGTCATTACCAGAAGTGATACGAGACATGCTCTACTTGGCCAAAGGCATAAAGCCGATACTAGAAGTTATACAAGTCATGCTCTACATGGACAAAGACATAATACCAATACCATAAGTGATACGAGACATGATCTACTTGGCCAAAGGCATATTATTAATACCAGAAGTTATACGAGACATGCTCTACATGGACAAAGGTATAAATCCATATTCAGGATAACACGGGAAAGCATATTACACATATAACACAAAACATGCAATTGTTTCTATATATTTAACTCACCGTGAAATAATCGGAGATTAAAATGGTAATTTGAGCATCACTTCATTTCTATACATAACTTTCTTCAATGAAAACCGATAGCTTTATTGAAAACCGGGCCTTGCGAGGGTTGAGTTTCAAACCGAAAATATAAATTTCTCGGGGTCTTCAAATGTTTTGGGGCGTTCTTCAGGTGTTGGGTATGATCCCGGGGCTTTGGGGATGTAAAATAGCTTGAAAGAAGGTTTAAGGTGAAAAATTGTGCAAAAATCCAACCAAAACCGGGAGGTTTCGCACCTCCCTTTATATAGGGTGCGAGGTTTTCGGTCGAATAGGGAAGGAGGAAGACACGCGTCGGACATGCGAGGGCGAGGGGGAGGGGCATGCGTCAGCAGTGAGGGCGAGGCACTCGCATCGGATGTGCAGGCGAGGTGGCTCGCTTCGTACCTTCGGACGCGCCACGTGTTGGACACGCGTCACACATGAGAGGCTTGTACGTGGCCGAGTCCGAGCCTAGTATGCGTAGCTTCTCAGATTTTGTGCCCGAATCTTTAAAAATTCATAACTTTCGCATACGAGCTCCATTTTGGACGTTCTTTATATCTACACGTAGGTGAGATTGTACTCTACAACTTTTGTTTAGACTCCGTTGGCTAATTTTGACTTTTTTTAATATTATTATTTTTAACAGACCGGGATAGAAAAATCCGTTAAAAATTCATAAATTTTTCATTTGATGTCCTTTTTCAACTGTCTTTTTATCGTTGTACTACTATTGACAAGACCTTCGATTCTTCTTTAGGTTATGTCAACTAAAAATCACTCGATCTCTATTTCAAGTTTTTAGTTGTATACTGCTATATCGAATCTTTAAAAAAATCATAATTCCTCATACGAAGTCAGATTTTGACGTTCTTTTTATGAAACTTCTCGGTTTAATGAATACTATGACTTTCATTTTGATCACTAAAGCTAAAAAATAGTTTATTGAAAACTCACTTTTTACGCTAAATAGTGTTTTGTCGGTTTTGTCACAGATCTTCGATTGGTCATAACTTCTTCGTTATAACACGGATTTCGATGAGATTTTCGCTTAAATTCTTCTAACGAGATAATCTACAACTTTCAATAACATTACTTTTATTTATTTCCAAATTTATATTTTTGTTAATTTCGATAGTTGACTTTTGATCGGAATTTCATAAGACTTCCAATACATTTTCGAGTGATTCAAAACATTGTTTTACTTCAAATCTCATAAAAACTATCTTGTTAGAACTCAACGCTCAAAAACATATAATATTATTCATTTTATGCTAACAAGCTTTACAAAACACGATAATCGAACAAGGTTATTAACATGTATGTTACAAATACCTCCTCCTTTTGAGAATTTCGTTCTCGAAATCACAACGATTAAACAAATGGGGATATTTTGCTCTTATCTCATTCTTATTTTCCCAAGTATAATTTGGGTCATCGATGGTGTTTCTACTTGACAAGCACCAACTCCATTTCTTTATTACGTATATTAGTCGTTCTTTCGTTTACGATCTCTTCAAGCTCTTCTACATATGGTAACTTATTATCCAGTTTCACCTTGGATAACGGAACCATTTCATCATATATGCTCAAGCATTTACGCAGATAACTCACATGAAACACATTATGAATACATGCCAAATCTTCAGGAAATTCTAAGCGGTATGATTGTTTGCCAATTCTCTGGATGATCTTAAAAGGACCAACAAATCTAGGACTTAGTTTTCCTTTATTTCCAAATCGCATAATGCCTTTCCATGGGATACCTTCAGCATTATGAAATCACCCACCTGGAATTTTATGGGTCGTTTCCACTTTCTGCCTAGGATTTTTGTGAATCCTGGGTCGCTTTCATTCCTTCTCGTACAATTTGAATCTTATCAGCGGTATCTTGAATCAATTCAGGGCCTCTAAGGATTTTCTGTCCTACTTCACGCCAACATAATGAAGTATGACATCTACGTCTATATAGTGCTTCATATGGTGACATTTTGATTGAAGCGTGATAAGTGTTATTATATGAAAATTCAACAAGAGGTAAGTACTTGTCCCAGTTACCACTGAACTCCAAGACACATGCACGAAGCATATCTTCTGTTGTTTGGATCGTTCTATCCGTTTGACCGTCTGTCT